TTATACCATTCAGTGCAATAAGTGTGTAACTATGTTTATGCTGTTTATGTGTTCGTGTTACCATATGGGAGTTAGAAGTAAGAGGACGGTCGAAGCTAATTTGACTGTCTCATTACTATCTGAAAAACAGTACTCCTCTTCGTTTCTGGATGAATAGTACCGCCAATTTATTACTTCAGGCCACTGATTGTCTCAGACTTAATGAAGAAGGACTTCAGATCACTCGATCAAGCCGTAAGGTTAAAAGAAGGAATTGGCAGATTCAGTACTGAAGAGGTTGCTGGCCGTATTGCAAGAACAACAGTTGCAACTGCCTTTCGTCTGGGTCATAGAATGCCCACTGATGACGTCACCCGTTGCAACCGAAGTTTCAAAGTGCTTGTCCCTGCATCAAGGCACCCCCAACTGGTTGAACATTTCCTTCTCGAACCGATCCAATCTATCTTTCCTCGCAAGAACTCTGAGAGTGCCAAAAGTCAGATAGCAATTGCTTGTGCCTAATATTCTGACCTGTCACAAACCTTACGTGTGTACATATCTGATGGCCCTGTATGATTATTGAGTAATGTTATGCAAGGATGCGCCTGCTGCACATCTTGTACATGCTAATGAACGTGTATGACAGAGTGAAACCATCCTCTCGAAATAAGGGTGTACACTTCATTATCGACGATTGACTTCAGGGATCATTCGCAAAGGTCAACCTGTTGCTAGCACTTGTTCACTTCCTTCAAAATAGTTCTGTTCTCCCGTTGTTTGCAATCTTTCATTGCTTCAGGGAAAAGCACTTCATAGGAAATCACACTGTTTATTCTTGACTGAGTGCCCAGATCCATTTGATGACATGTGAGGTGATACAGCTAATAGACAAAATTTGAATGCTGCATTTATTGATTAAAATCTCTTTCCCCAGCGTTGCATGGTATCACTGTGCGTAAGATGTCGGCTTCGAACTCCGGATATGGTGGAATCGATTTTGGAAGAGAATAATCTTTGTCTTAATCACGAAATCTCTTCAGCAAGGAACTTACCACATGCTGCTTCAGACTGGATGCTCAGTCGGTATGGCGCCGCACTCAGAACTGAGAGATTCCGGGTTTGAGTTCGGTCAGGACCAATCGCCTATTTTTTTTCCAAGGTTGACAAATAATGAGTAGCGCTCTGTGGGAAGGGAACGGGAAACTCCACATTATGCCTCCACATTATCTGCACACATGCTAACGGCATGAAAATGGAGATCAGCCCTCCACCCTCCCCC